CCCCAAAACCCCAAAACCCCAAAACCCCGTCCGTCAAAATGTGGTTTTGATTTATGAAATTAAGATTTGAATAGTCAATTAAAATTCTTCAATTATTAATAGAGTTTCATAAGAATTCTTCTTCTTCTTCTTCCTCTATCTTTTCCTGTTATTTTTGCTCTTCATTCTTCTCAGCATTCTCTTTATTTATTCCGTTTTTCAAGATGCCCTTCTTTTTCTTCTTCCTTTTCTTTTTCTTATTTTTCTTATCTGCTTGCTATAAATCACCATCATCTTTATTAAGACCTTTTCCATTTTGCTCTTCGTTTTCTTCATCTATTTTATCTTCTCTCTAACCTCCTTCAATAGCCTTTTTTTCTTCCTCCTCTTTCTTTAATCTTTCTTCCTCCTATTGAATCCTCAATTGCTCTTCTTTTTCTTTTTGTTACTATTACAACTTGAGCTAGTCTCTCTTCCCTCCTTAATTAAGATTGAATATCTTCTCCATCATATCTTTGAATTCTAAGAATGAAATCTCATTATCGTCGTTTATATCTACTTATTCAACGACTTTTGCCCAAACTTTATCATCAATATTTTTTCCAGCACAAAGAGCCTTTTTAATTTCATCCATTGAAATGAATCCTGATTGATCAATGTCAAAAGTATTGAAGGCTGCTTATAGTCTATCTGTGGTTAGAATTTCCTTTGGATTAATGCAAGCTACTAGAAATTCTGAGAAAGTAATTTCACCTGACAAATCAGCATCTACTTAAGCAAGGATTCTGTCTAGTTCCATATCAGAGATATCCTTACCTAAATATTTTTTGAACATCTACAATAATTCCTCTCTAGTAACCATACCACTGCCATTTCTGTCTAATTTATTGAAAACCTTTCTAAATGGGTCAATTTCAGATTTTCCAAGTAGTTATGTAACGATAAACGTAAGTGCTGCTTATTATAGTTTACCTACAATCTTGAAATTTCTTAAATTATTAAGAGCAGCTGTTATTTCTGATTTATCAACAAATGCTTTACCCAATTTTCTAATCCATGGATGATCGAGAGCTTCTTAGCATGATACCCTCTTCTAAGCTTCTTTTGTTAGCATTTTTTTTAGAAGATCTATTGCATCTCTAGATTTCTTTTTCCACTCAATCGTATTGACGTGAATCTCACCCTTTTTAACTTTTTTTATTATTTGTTTATCATCTACTCCATCAAATGGAGGTTTTCCAGATAAAAGCATGTACATTATCACACCAATTGACCATACATCACATTTTTAATCATAGGATGAGGTAAGAACTTCAGGAGCAATATAATAAGCTGTACCAAAGGTTTAAGTCATTGACTTTCCTGTTGTAAACTTCTGAGCAGTACCAAAGTCAATCAATTTGATCTGATCACCTTTCTTCGAATCTATTAAAATATTCTCAGGTTTAATGTCACGGTGCACAATATTATTAAGATGGCAGTAATTAACCGCAGAAAGCAATTGTTAAATTATTATACCGCCCTCTTCCTCACTGAAACCTTTCCCTCTTCTTTTATTCATTTCTTCATAGAGCTCTCCTCCAGTACAAAGTTCAGTAACAATATAGATCTTGTCAGTATCATTAAAATACTCAAAGACCTTCACTATATTAGGATGATCTAGCTCTCTCAGTAGCTCAATTTCATACAGAAATCTTTTCTGATCCTTAATTTAAAGAGTGGCTTTATTTAATATTTTCACTGCTCTCATTGTTCCAGTAAGTTTACTAATGCATTTTCTAACCTCCCCAAAAGATCCTAATTTACTTTAAGAAAATAATATTCTAATTTTACCTAGTCCCAGAGCTTTTCCAATTTTATAATATGAACCAAATTTACCCTCTGTTTATCTGATAAAATCTGACTTACCGACCTTCAGATTATTTATATCCATAATTTTGTCCTCATCATCATTGCCAATTTTGTTCTACAAGTTTAAATTACGCTCTTTTCTTTACTCAATTTATGAATTACTCTGTTGCCACTCATGCAAGTACCCATTTAAAATATTTGATTCTACTTTAAATTACTAAAATCGAATTACATAGAATATACTTACATAGCCTTAAGGGGTTTTGGGGTTTTGGGGTTTTGGGG